TTGAAGGTAGAGATCTGGGAGACTGACACGATAAGACATCTTACCTTCTGTGGCCTTTCTCAGATGTCCCAGGATCTCTCAGTAGCAGCAGTCTCAGGATGAGCAACCTCCTGGCTGGCTTGCCAACTGTCAGGGAGGGAGAAATTTATGCCTCTATGCCTCTTGGGTTCCTGTGATTGGACTAAGAAGAAAATTGACACAGACAGATTAACAGGAAAAGGAGAAACAAATTGTAATTCATGTGCACGAGGGTGTCCTAGAAATGGGACCTAAAGAAGTGGCCAAAGCAGGCAGCTTTTATATGTTTTAGACCTAGAAACAATACATTTTCGAGGAATGGACAGGACAAATGAACATAGGTTTTGAGTGTTCAATTCATGAAGAATCTAAACAGAATTTGAGCTTGGGGTAGTAAATTAAAGACATTTCTGTATACAGACTTCTCTGACTGAATTCTCTATTTTTGGCTATAAGGGTGTTCTTCTACCTCCATATTGACAGAGTTATTTCCTGTTTTCAGGGAGACAGAAAAGAGGGTCAGAATATCACTCCTGCAATGGCCTTTTCTTAAGTAACCTGAATACAAGGTAATCAGTATGTCACTGTGGCATATTTTGGGGCAATCTGCATTGAGACCCAACAGGTGAGATGCACAAGAGCCATTCTGTTGACACTTTCTGCCTTGAATTGGTAGAGCCAGATCCCAATGCACTAAAAGAGCATTTTCATTGGGTTATCTTGGGTAATTTGGCAAATTCTAAGACAGGGCTAGATTTTGGTGGGAAAGAAACAAATAAAAATAGACACGATTTAGATAGAAGGGAAACTGGAAAGGACTAAAAGAGTCGGTACATGACAAAATTCCAGGAACTTTGAGTTGCTTCCAGGTGGAAAAATGAAAAACCTCCACACCAAAATTAAATAATAAATGCTCTAACACGGAAAAGATACTTAATTTTACTTGCTAAAGCAAAATTTTGGTATTGTTCTGTCTGAGAGTGCTGCACTTCCCCTGACATATGCTGGATTTAAGAAAACATTCCTACATAGGAGGGTGATATTGTCTAGGTAAAAATATTAACTGCCATTCATGAAACACCCAATATTTGCCAGGATTCTGATGGGTGCTTTATACACAATACATACTTTCCAACAGTCATACAAGGTAGGGTTTATCAGATTCATTTGGCAGATGAAGAACTTGCAATGTTCTCATATTCACAAGGTGGTAAGTAACAGAGCTAGACTAGATTCCTGGTCTGAATTTCTCGAGGGCACACTCTTTTCTACCACTCCCGCCCTGAAGCTGACCTTGCGTGTTTTTACTCACTTTTCTTCTCTCTATTCTGGACTGTATCTCAGGTGATTGAAGGAACAATAAAAATAAAAAGCAGTGTGTGCCCAAAGTACTGGATTGAAATACATAGCCAGGGCAATAAGAAAACCAAAATAAGTGAGTGGTATAAATAATGAAAAGAAGGTTACTACCTGGTAACAATATGATCATTTACATGTGCAGTGTCAGTTAACCGTGAAAGATGGGGGTCTCACGAAATTATCAGGCTCAGCCCATTTCTGTAGTATGCAAGTCTCATAGAACAGAAGTTGTATTGGAAGCCAAGTCTGGGTGGTACAGAGAAGAAATAAATCAGCATGATTTTTGCTTTTTTCTCTGAAAGCTCAACTCCTATCTAAGTCCTCTCTACCTGGCACTTCAGCTTTCCTATCTTACATCATTCGTGAGACACAGACCCATTGCCCTTAAGACTCACAGTGGAGACAGTACTTAAGAGTTTGCATGGATGTGGCATTTACAAGGAAGCCATTCATTAAAGAGACAGGAGCTGAAACCAGACTCGGGTGTAGGACTACTGAGGAGAACACCCCCCGATCATTTAGAGAGTCCTGTAGGGACAACCCCGTACCGAGTCTTAGACCTGTGCCATCAGGCAGCTTCCTGCAAGGAAGGTCTCACGTAGGTGAGGACCTGGTTGAAAGGAGTGTAATTGAGAAGCTGATGTGAAACTGAGGGTGTCCTCCACTCCAGAACAGAGGGGGCGCCAGAGATCGAGGCGCTATCTATGGTGAGGCGCTCACTTCCTCCTAGGTCGTAGCTAGCGCTCACTTCCTGTTAGACGGCGAAGGACGAAGAGCGAGTGCCTCCGGCGGTGGCACAAGGCCTCAGGCCTGTGAGCGTTTCCAGGCTCCAGCAGGAACCGAGTCAAGGTGAGGAGCCCGAATAATGAATGGGAGACCCCCCACCAACCCCCCAACCTCCCCTGCCCCGCGCCGCCCGACGCCCCCCACGCCGTGCCTCACCCCCCACCTCGTGCCTCGCCCCCCCCCCCGTGCCTCGCTCCCCACTCTGTGCCTTGCCCCGCCCCCTCCATGCCTCGGCCCCCCTTTCCGTGCCTCACAGCCCCCCTCCGTGCCTCACCCCGCCCCCTCTGTGCCTCGACCCCCCCCCCCCACCTCCGTGCCTCACCCTCCCTCCCCGGTGCTTTCCACTCACAAAGCCCCGACGCTCTCGTGGAGGAAGATAACCCCTCAGAGGCTCTTTGGGAGGTGAGGACCTTGGTTGAAGTGGGTGGCCCCAGTTCAGAGGGGGAGGAAGACCCTAATAAGGGTCTGAGTGAGGAAACTCAGATAGAAAGTCCGAACAAGGCCCTGCTTGTTGTTCTCAGAGGACCCAAACATGGCGGCAGGTAGAGGCGAGCCTTCCTTTTCTATATGATAGATTAGGAACTAGACCACCTTGCCCTGAAGGAATTTGAGGACGGAACTCTGAGTGAGGTCTGAGAGGACCTCAACCCCAGAACAGTGAAGTGGCACGGGACTTGTGGTTCCATCAAGCTTGGGAAGACCCGGACAGGGCAATCAGGCAGACTACTTTGAGGAGGGTTTCTGAGATTGTGAGGGTGTTGGTTTTATAGGGGAGGGGCCTCAAGGTAGCAGACGAAAGCATTCTAGGGTGGCCAGGAGTTGGAATGAGGACCCTATGTGAGGACAGAGGGAATTCCTGCCCTGCTGGCAGCCTGGCGTGTCTTTGCAACTGGTGATGTGATGACGGACACTCCTTTTCTCTTACGGTATCGCGAGGATGGAATGGTGAAGGGAGAGGGGTCCGGGGGCGAGGCAGGAAGGCAGCACCTGGGGCAGGTGAAAGATTTTGTTTATAAGGGGTAGATTATTCCCCCACAGTAGAAGTATTTCCAGATCTTTCCAGGAGTTGTATGGGGGTACAAAAGAATCCATCCCCTATTCTCAACCGTAGAGACCATGGGGAAGTGGGGGGACCCTCATATGTTACTGGGTTGTTGGCTGGCAGGAAGACAGAAATCCCAGACCATGCAAAGGGTCAAAGGAAAGACTGAGAGGACTACCAATCATTGAATCAGTTCAGTTCAGTTGAGTGACTCAAGTCATGTCTGACTCTTTGTGACCCCATGGACTGCAGCATGCCAGGCTTCCCTGTCCAGCACCAACTCCCGGCACTTACTTAAACTCATGTCCATCGAATTGGTGATGCCATCCAACCATCTCATCATCTGTTGTCCCCCTTTCCTCCCGCCTTCAATATTTCCCAGCATCAGGGTCTTTTGCAGTGAGTCAGTACTTCGCACAAGGTGCCCAAAGTATTCAGCCTCAGCATCAGTCCTTCCAATGAATATTCAGGACTGATTTCCTTTAGGTTTGACTCATTTAATCTCCTTGCAGTCTAAGGGACTCTCAAGAGTCTTCTCCAACATCACAGTTCAAAAGCGTCAATTCTTTGGCGCTCAGCTTTCTTTATAGTCCAACTCTCACATCCATACATGACTACTGGAAAAACCATAGCTTTGACTAGATGGACCTTTGTCAGCAAAGTAGTGTCTCTGCTTTTTAATATGCTGTCTAGGTTGGTCATAGCTTTTCTTCCAAGGAGCAAGTGTCTTTTAATTTCACGGCTGCAGTCACCATCTGCAGTGATTTTGGAGCCCAAGAAAATAAAGTCTCTCCCTGTTTCCGTTGTTTCCCCATCTATTTGCCATGAAATGATGGGACTGGATGCCATGATCTTAGTTTTTTTAAATGTGGAGTTGTAAGCCAACTTTTTCACTCTCCTCTTTTACCAAGAGGCTCTTTAGTTCTTCTTCACTTTCTGCCATAAGGGTGGTGTCATCTACATATCTGAGGTTATTGATAGTTCTCACAGCAATCTTGATTCCAGGTTGTGTTTCATCCAGCCTGGCATTTCATATAAGTTAAATAAGCAGAGTGACAGTAGATCACAGAAAATCTCGGCCCCACGTTTTTCATTCCGAACTTGCAGGCTCAGGGCGGGACTGTCAGGCTGAGGCTGACAATCCACATCAAATCTGAGAGAGAAGAGTATGAGGTTAGTATGAAGTTGGAGCCACCGGTCAGCAGAGGGGAGGTATACCAGGTACCGCCTGGAGACTAGGTGAGCATCCTTAACGAGAACTGAGGACCCAAGCAGCCCCTGAAGGAGTGGGTCCCACGTAGCTCTCAGTTGGGTACCCTCTGACAGAGAGAAGGGCCAAGGAACCCCTCACTTCCTCCTCTGGGGTCTCAGGGAAGTGCTGACTTGGGTTTGAGGTGTCAGCTTCAAAGCATCAGAAAAGAGGAGGCTCAAGACCTGCCAACAATTGACTATATGACTATAATGACCCTGACTATAAACTGAGAATACCCTCAAACCCAGAACAGAGGCTCCTTACTGGCAGCCCCTGCTGTCACCCTAGTATACCCCTAGCAGGGTTGGCAGGCTACATTCTAAGGTTCTGATATCCTCCACAGTTTTCTCAGGGTACAGGCTGATCAAAACAGAAGCCTTGAGAGGTCCTAGATCAGTGTCCCCAAGGACCCTGCAGAGGTGGCCTTGATTAAAGCCAAGGTGGAATCTCCCTGCTGAGGTGCTTACAGCATCTTATTCTCCTTCCTCCAGGTGCCCACGTCTTCTGAGCTCCTGTCTACACTCCTTCCTGCTGTCCCTGACCATGCCTCGAAGGAAGAAGAGTAAGGCCCGTGGTGGTGATAAACCCCACGGTGATGAACAACCCCAAGGCAAGACCCAGAGTTGTGGGGGTGCTCAGGCCACAGCAGCAGCAGAAGAGGAGTCCACTACCTCCTCGCCTCAGTGTGAAGGTATTACCCAGAGTCTGCCTGGTGCTCAGTCACATAGCACTTCCCAGGAGCCTGAAAGAATACCGACCATCACCACTTCTGCAGTCTTTTCTTGCACTAGATCTAGTGAAGCATTCGATGGCCAATATGAGCATAGGGTGTTGGTCTATGAGGTCCCACCCTTCACTGAGCCCCCAGGAACTGACTGTTTAACCAGGAAAGCTAGCTTGTTGGAGCAGTACATTCTGCACAGGTATAAAATGAAGCAGCTCATCATGAAGGAAGACATACTGAAGATTATCCACCACAGCCACCATGACCGATTTGCTGAGATTCTCAAGAGAGCCTCTGAACGCATTGAGCTCATCTTTGCGATGGATCTGAAGGAAGTCGACTCAGTCGTTCCCTGCTATAATCTGATCAGCAAATTGAAACTCCCCAACAATGGGAGGGTGCGTGGTGGAAGGGGGTTACCCAAGACCGGTCTCCTGATGAATCTCCTGGCTATGATCTTCATGAAGGGCAACTGTGCTGCTGAGGAAGACATCTGGAAATCCCTGGGTACGATGCAAGTATATGCTGGAAGAAGGCACTTCATCTTTGGAGAGCCCAGAAAGCTCATCACCAAAGATTTAGTGAGGCTGAAGTACCTGGAGTACCGCCAGGTTGCCAACAGTGATCCTCCACGTTATGAGTTTCTCTGGGGCCCAAAAGCACATCTGGAAACCAGCAAGATGAAAGTCCTGGAATTTTTGGCAAAGGTCAATAATGCTGTTCCCACCGACTTCCCCACTTATTATGAAGAAGCTTTGCGAGATGAAGAGAAAGCCCAAGGTGTGGATGCAGCCAAGCCTGACACTACTATCAAAGTCAATACACCTCCCAGGGACACGCTCAATATTGTCTTCCCACCCATAGTGAAGCATGTGCTTTTTCCCCCCCAGACATGAAAATATAACATTACAATAGGGATTATATTCTTGGAAATGTGAAAGAATCCCATCGTAAAATAGTTAGGATGATGGAGTAGAAAAAAAGTAAAACATGATCAATGTTAGTTTTTCTTGTTCCTTTTAGTCTTTAGCTTTGTTATAGTACTTATTCTATACTCTGAGTTTCTTAGCTTCTTCAAGAAAGTAAGAGAAATTAAATGTTAATAAAGTAGACCTTGTGTTTATTGGCTCTTTTATTCGTCAAACGTTGAGAATCTGCTCTTGGGAAGGCTCAGTGCTAGTACTGGGGATGCTAATATAAAGAATATCCAGCCTCTACTCACAGAATTTTAGAGCTTATGAGTTACACTCATATGAGTAAGATACTGAAATATTCTCTGTGACTTACAGGTAAAGTAAAAAGAATGGTTGAAGTGGAGGGTATTCCTTATGATGGCCCTCCCTGCCTGGCTGCTCAATCACTTAAGTCATGTGCGACCCCATGGATGATAGCCCACCATGCCCCTCTGTACATGGGAATTTTCCAGAAAGAATACTGGAGTGGGCTGCAATGCCCTCCTCCTGGAATCTTCCCAACCCAGGGATTGAACCCATGTCTCCTGTGCCTCCTGCATTGCAGGAGGATTCTTTGCCACTGGGTGATGGCAGTTAAGTGTAAAGTTCCTGAGTAAGGCAGTTTGGGACTTGAGGAAACTATGAGTCCTCAGTGGAGTGTAGTTTTCATTTCTGTTGTGCGGTGGGCTAGTTGAGGTCCTGAAGTGGTGAGTAGAGGCCAAACCTTCCAACAGTTGATAGAAAAAACCCTGTATTAGTCTTCTCAGGCTGCTGTAACAATACCATAGATAAACAACAGACATTTCTTTTTCACAGTTACAGAAGTTGGGAAGTTCACAATCAATGTGCCAGTGGATTCTGTTCCCGATGAGAGCTCTCTTTCTGGCCGCCACCTCTCTGTCCTCATATGATGGAGAGAGAGAATTCTGGTCTCTCTTGCTCTTCTTCTAAGATAACTAATTGCATCATGGGTGCCCCATCCTCATGACCTCATCTAAACCTAATTATCTCCCTAAACTTTCACCTTCAAATACAATTGCATGGACATGGTGGGAAGGAGAAAACGGTTAGGGCTTCAACACATGAATTTTGTCAGGGACACGAACATCTAGTCTATAGTGGAAAACTGCTGCTACAAATTATTTTGGGATGTGGATAAACTAGAAAAATCTCTACCAGGGGCAGGAATGGAAGGTGTCCTTTGCTCTTGTTCTAGTGCAGATGAACACAGTGTGCAAACTAGGTGTTCTATGCACATCATTTCCAGGGAGTTTCTGAAAAATAATGGAGATGATCCCCTTAGGTGAGATGCCAAGAAGCTACTGTGCTGGCACTGTTTGCCCCAAACTGGGAGAGCCAGTGTCTGATCCATTATAAAGGCATTTTAACTAGGTTATCTTAAGTAGAGTTTGGCAAACTCTTGAAGGATAGCTTTTTTATGAGAGTGTAATGAATGTAAACAGAGCTGATTTGGATGCAAGGGCACCTGGAAGGGATGGCAGGGTTAATCTCCTAGATAGATGACATCTAGGAGCTTGAGCTGTACCCAGCTAGGGACAACAACTCCATACCTAAAGCAAATGATAAATGCTCAAATGGGTAAAGTTAGTTTTGCCAGCTAGAGAGACTTTTTGGTTGATTCAGTATTCTTTAAAATATTACATATTCTTTGAAACTTCCTGAATTAAAAAAAAAAAAATTCCAAGGGAGGTAAATGGTATCATCTGAGATCAAAATATTAATTACTGCTATTCTTTAAATATTGGGTGACATTTGCTGGTCCTCTTGCCATGTGATTTATATATGGTACATGCATTTCAACCATCTTACAAGGTAGGGCTTACCAAACTCAGCAGGTGAAGAACTCAAAGTTTTCTTAAGTTCACAAGACTGGTTATTAGCAGAGCTGGGAATAGACTCCTCATCTGAACTTGTCTACAGGCCATAGTGTTTCACTCCTCCCAGCCTGGGGCAGACCTGTCTCTTAATTCACTTTTCTTTGCACTATGTATCTCAAATAATAAAAAGGCACTTGAAGTTAAAGTGCTAAAGTCAAGTCTACTGAAGGGGAGAGTGAATATATGAGAATAGATCAGTATGTGGGAACTGTCCCTGGGTTTCATCTTCCTAGGATCTGACCGAGAGCTAACTCTGTCCGGAAACTAGTATTTTGTTCAGCTCCAGTTCTTTCCAGCATTACAGCATCCTCTCCTCTCCTGACCCCAGACTTCCCCAGTGTGTCCTCCTTCCAGCTCTGGAACCTGACCTCCTGCTGACCAGCTCTTCTCTGCAGCCTCTTCTGAGGGCTACCCTCTGCTCTCAGTGGAGTTGACAGTCGATATCTTCTGCTGCCCTGCCCCCGACCCCCCCCCACCCCCACCCCACCCCCACCCACCTTAGAGCATCTCAAATCCCTGGATGTCACTTCCTTTATCATGGATGTATACCATCTTTATTTTCCTATTTATGTGGTACTTTGGAGATCTTTATTTCTCTAATTGTCTCTCTGTATCACTGTGTCTGTCTTTGTCTCTCTCTTTTCATTATTTTTCAAATATTGACTCTTTTAATAGACGGTTTAAATAGCTTCTGAGTACATTTATGAATCACTTGTTTATACATTTATTGCTGTGTGTCAAGTTTGCAAATAGGAATTTTTATATTTTATGAATCAAAGTGGGACATCTTCATTCTTATTTTTTGATTCAGAATGGGTAACATGACATTGGAATAGGTGTTACTTTAGAAAAGTAAAGTAAGTCAGTAGAAAAATTGTTGGGATCAAGAAATAGAGCAAAATAAAGTAAAAGACTGTCACTTCCTATCTTCCTTATCTTTAGTCTGTTGTACAGTAAAAATTAAATGACACATACCTGCATTTGTTTGGCTTAGCTAAGAATTTAGGAGAAATTAAATCTTAATAAATTAGATAACATGCTCCCTGGCTCATTTATTCCCTTAACACTGATTGGGCATCTGCTCTTTGGAATACACTGTGTTATTTCTGGGTGCTAGGATCTGTGTGTCTAACAGCCATAATCTTATAGTGACGATGGTAAGATATTATGGTAAACCAGAGGGCAATTAAAGAGAGAGTGAGGGAGTTGAGGTCTAGATAAATGCAATGAAGTGGAAGTTAAGTTTAAATGCTCCAAGCTATGTCCACTTGGGAAACTGCAAGCTCTTCAGACTAAGGTTTAAGTTTAGTTATGTCGTGGGGAGTTTAGTGGGAGTGAGGAACAAAGGCCAGATCTTTGCATGATGTATCTCAGAATTGAGAGACTTAAGCTTGGAGCACAATGACACCTTTATCACTGGATATAATGATGCCTTTATCATTATGTAATTCCCTTCTTAATCCCTGATACCTTTCTGTGCTCTGAACTCTGCTCTGTCTGTAATTAGTACAGCCACTCCCACTTTATTTTGATTAATGTTACCAAGGTATTTTCTTCTCTGTTCCTTTACTTTAACCTGTGTGTCTTTGTATTTAAAGTGGGTTTCTTTCTTTAAATAACATATTGTTGGGGTTAGGTTTCTGGTCCACACTGATAATCTCTGCCTTTTAACTGGTGATTTTAGACTGTTGATATGCAAAGTAATTATTGATGTGATTGGATTAATATCTACCATATTTGTTACTGTTTTCTATTTGTGGCCTTTTTTCCCCCTCTTGTTTTTGTTTTATACTCTTTTTGCTCTGTTTGTGGTTTTTAGGCTAATTAGCTTGATTGGGGGAATCATTTCACAATGTACATGTATATCAATATCACACTTCACACCTTAAATATATATAATGTTTATTGGTCATTCATATTAATACCTCAATAAAACTGGAAAAATTAGTTGAGCTTTTATGTGATTCCAATTTCTATACTTTAGCGTATCAATTATTTTTAAAAGTTTTTTTTCATTAGTGGCCCACCTTCATTATAATGTTTGTTATTTTTGTTGCATATCAGTAAAGTCTGTTTCCAAAATTAACTGCCAGTAATAGATCATATTCAAGGGTGATATAACATTCATCTTGAACACTTTCAAATATTTAATAAGAATAATCTTGATCTCTTTCTTTAAATATTTTCCAAAAATTATTCCTTTTGATTCTGGTTTGTATGATGTCATTAATCTATTAAGTATACAGGCCCAAGTACAATTGTGATTAATCTTTATATTTTTCATTCTGTGCCCTTTTATGGTTTGCAACCTCAAGTCTACTCATAAAATATTTTTCTTCACAACATACACTATGTATTTTGGCTTTATTCCCAAGAAAGTCTTCCCATCCAAGTGTCTCTTACCTTGTCACTGTCAGCCAGTTGTGGTCTCTGTAGACTCGGTTTTGTTTGACACAGTTCTACTTTTAGTTTAGGTTACTTTCTAAGACAAGTGTGAAGCGTACCTTCTGTTCTTTTACATTCTCCCTAATATAAATATTAAAATTGTTATATTCAAAATAAAAGGACAAAATTTGCTCTTATTTTATCAGCATCTTAAATCTTCTCAGTTTGATGAATTATTTGAAGCATAAACATCAATTATGTTTCTTGTCATAAAACTATTAAGAATGGTTGACTCTCACCAGCATTGATCAATGAATATTAGATTCTCAGAGGCCTCTGATTTCATGATCAGCACCTGTTTTGGGTTCTATAAGATTTCCCAGCATCAGGGTCTTTTCTAATGAGTCAGCTCTTCACATCAGGTGGCCAAAGTATTGGAGTTTCAGCTTCAGCATCAGTCCTTCCAATGAATATTCAAGGTTGATTTCCATTAGGATGGACTGGTTGGATCTCCTTGCAGTCTAAGGGACTATCAAGAGTCTTCTCCAGCACCACAATTTGAAGGC